GGGGGAGGGGGGCTTAATTATTCTTGATAAACATCGATCACATATTCTCGTGTATTTTTGTTTTATATATTATACATGTATAGCTTGATAATTAAATCAAAGAAAAGATTTTAAAAAAATGTAGATCGTTCTTGTGTTGTAAATCAGTTATTGACAGGTAGAATATGTCGAATCATACATTGTCATTTTTTATTTTTTCTGCCGCGTGATTTTGAGCGATAGAGACCGTTCAAAGTCAACTGATATAAAGCCTATCACCAACTGTGCCTAGATGAAGATTAAATGTCAATTGGAAAAGCTAAACAAGAAGTTTTATATTAATTAATAGATTAATATGGTAACAAATTTAATTAATTATTAATTTATTGGTTACCAAAATAATGAGCCAGATGTAAAGATACAATTTATTTATTTATTTATTTATTTATTTATTTATTTATCATAATCCTCATTCTGTTTTGAATACAGCGAGCAGATTATTGGGTCAACTGATCTACCGGTAGTGAAATAGATGTACTGTTGCGTACTGGTACTGGCACAAGTGTATAACGATCGATGAATACATATATATACAGACACGTGTACCTAGCTTATCAGTTTGAGATAATATAGAGTTGTGAACTTAATCTAGGACCCATTAGACTATATGATACGTCCTAGATGTAGATAAAAGTCTATGTTGATATGATGTGCTTGTATACTAAAAGAAATAATTAATTTTAGTGAAACCAAACATGCAAAACTTGAAGCTCGTGGTGGTAGGAGATGGTGCGGTGGGAAAAAGTTGTCTCTTGATCAGCTACGCCACGAACGCGTTTCCAAGTGAATATGTCCCTACAGTGTTTGACAACTACAGTTGTAATGTAATGGTGGATGGAAAACCGATATCTCTGGGACTATGGGATACAGCAGGCCAAGTAAGTCCCCATCCGCTCTCTCGCTCTCTCTCTCAGTTACCCGTTTTCACCAGAATTATTTTATAAGTATTGATGATTATTATAAAGAAATAAAGCATTAATTACTTTGGATCAAAATTTTTTTCGACACGATTTTTATATATTCAAATATATTTATGTCTTACATTTTAGGAGGATTATGATCGCTTGCGTCCTCTTTCATACCCACAAACAGACGTTTTTCTTCTGTGCTTTTCAATTGTGAGTAGGAGTTCCTTTGAGAATGTGCCGGCAAAATGGTTTCCCGAAATCAGTCATTATGCTTCCGGTGTTCCTGTGTTGCTCGTGGGATGTAAAAATGGTTAGCAATTGGAATATTTTATTTTAATAATTAAGTTCACTTTTTATCGTTCACGTAAGAGATAGGACCTTTTACTTACTATGCTTTTCTGCTTTAAAGGTTGCGAATTAGTAGCGCAAAACCTTGGGAGTGGTCGGAAGATTTGTTACATTTACACAACCTCAAAATTGAAATAAAAGTGAATTTAGGGGGCATGGGTTGTATTCCGATCCTTCACTTAACGCGTTGAGGTTTAGGCTATATAGTGTTTTGTCTTTTACGGCTATGCTCAGATCTTTTCCTGGCAGAGTTTGATTTAAGCTTTAAAAAAAAAAAAGCAACGTTAACAGATGTTAATATACAATGGAGCTACTGGGGAATGTTTCCTAGAAGTGACTCTGCCTCCGTAGACTTTATTTCTGTATATGTGAATATATAGTTATGAATTTCTTTTTTTTTTTACTTGCAAAGTTCATCTTAATATGAAAGCCAATATAACTTGCGTACGCCGCAAAACTCGTTTCACGTCTTTCAAAAATGAATTAGATGAAATAAATCAATNTTTTTAATATCCTAGACCCCTTAACACACACACACACACACACACACGAAACATTTAAGTAACTAATTTGTTTGACAATAGTTTTATTAAACGTAATTTGAGAAAAGCATTCTGGTTCACCTTGACATACCTTCATAAGTTTGATAGAGATTCACATTATCCGGCCATGGTTCTTTTGCTGAAATTGGAAGAATATTCAATTTATTCTTACAGAAGTTACGTAGTTAATGAAGCTGTATGGTATTGGGTAATACAGTACCCCACTCCACGCGCTATTCAACACTTGTAGAGCAGTGCGCAAAATGTAACTAGTTGTTACAGTACATATGATTGTAAGCAAAGGACTGTAGCCCATTGATTGATGTAAGTTACCGAGAGAGAGAGAGAGAGAGAGAGAGAGAGAGAGAGAGAGAGAGAGAGAGAGAGAGGGAGAGAGAGAGAGGATTTAAGCATCTGTTAACGAACAGCAAAATCATTCTCACCTCCTAATTCCACAGTCATAGCTGACGCAACCATTTCTTTGAGAGTCGTCATTTTGTTTTTATATTTATGCAACTACTGCACGTTTACCGTGCAGGTTCCTCGGTGCCCTTGGACAGAGGGCGATCTTATTCAAGAGAAGCCTCTTTAGTTAGGATATAATATTAAATGTGATATTGATAAAGATACTTCAAATAATCAAGCGCCCTTATTGAATCCAATAAAATATAATGTTCGACTATTTTGCGTGAATCACGTCTCTCTATTTTTTTGCAGACTTTTCTTGGTTCTTTCTGCCTCCTATATCTTCATTCACATCTAAAAATAGTACAACCTATATTTAGCAACACGCTGTCACACATGGTATAAATATTGTCCAAGCGCTACTAATCATAAATAAGAGTACCGGATTAAAAAGCAGAGTGGTTTAGGAAGAATTCGTAGGTGACAGTCAAAGCCAAATAGGAGTAAGAGAAAAAAATATCCGGAGAAGACGATCGTTGTGAGTAATTTAGTCAGTTTTTGTAAAGTTATGATAATATTAAATTAAGCTGATCGATTGACATGATTCATGCATACAAAATTTGTGCTGCTCAGTTTTTGTAGTTTTAGTTTGTCCTTCCTGTATACCAATATTATCGTAGGCCAACATACATTACGTTGCATATGGATTGTAATTAATCATTTTCGATCTTGTGTTGGGTCTTTTCATGTCAATAGGCCTACATATAGATATTTACCGTTAGTTACTTAGTATACTGTTTAATTTAAGTCCGAACATAGATCGGTAGTAGAACTACGTACGTTTACATACATGTACATCAGGCCCGTAGCCAGCAATTTCAAAAGGGGGGTTCTTTTTCTGAAAAAGTGGACCTTTTCCCATAAAAACTTAATGTACCTAGATCACATTTTACCCAGAGTGGACCTTTTCCCAGCAAAAGGGGCGGTTCTTTCGAACCTCCCGAAACCCCCCTGGCTACGGGCCTGTTAACATGTACTCGGTTTATGTTCAGTACAGAATATACATAGAGCTACAACTACACCTGCATGTGTATATAAAGCTTACGCTGCTACCGATACATGTGCAGGTGTCTCGGAAGAGCGGGGTGGTAAAGAAAGTGTGTGTGTGTGTGTGGGAAAGGGGGGGGGGGGTCAATTAATTATTCTTTATGAACATCGATCACATATTCTCGTGTATTATTGTTTTGTTTATTATACATATGTAACTTGATAATTAAATCAAAGAAAAAATAAAATATGCAGAATGTTGATTAATTCTTATATGTTGTAAATCAGTTATTGACAGGTAGAATGTTGAATCATACTTTGTCATTTTTTTATATTTTCTGCCGCGTGATTTTGAGCGATAGAGACCGTTCAAAGTCAACTGATATAAAACCTATCACCAACTGTGCTTAGATGAAGATTAAATGTCAATTGGAAAAGCTAAACAAGAAGTTTTATATTAATAGATTAATAAGGTAACAAATTTAATTAATTATTAATTTATTGGTTACCAAAATAATGAGCCAGATGTAAAGATACAATTTATTCATTTATTTATTTATTTATTTATTTATTTATCATAATCCTCTATTCTGTTTTGAATACAGCGAGCAGATTATTGGGTCAACTGATCTACCGGTGGTGAAATAGATGTACTGTTGCGTACTGGTACTGGCACAAGTGTATCGATGAATACATATATATATATATATATACAGACACGTGTACCTGGCTTATCAGTTTGAGATAATATAGAGTTGTGAACTTAATCTAGGACCCATTAGACTATATGATACGTCCTAGATGTAGATAAAAGTCTATGTTGATATTGATGTGCTTGTATACTAAAAGAAATAATTAATTTTAGTGAAACCAAACATGCAAAACTTGAAGCTCGTGGTGGTAGGAGATGGTGCGGTGGGAAAAAGTTGTCTCTTGATCAGCTACGCCACGAACGCGTTTCCAAGTGAATATGTCCCCACAGTGTTTGACAACTACAGTTGTAATGTAATGGTGGATGGAAAACCGATATCTCTGGGGCTATGGGATACAGCAGGCCAAGTAAGTCCCCATCCGCTCTCTCGCTCTCTCTCTCAGTTACCCGTTTTCACCAGAATTATTTTATAAGTATTGATGATTATTATAAAGAAATAAAGCATTAATTACTTTGGATCAAATTTTTTTTCGACACGATTTTTATATATTCAAATATATTGTTGTCTTACATTTTAGGAGGATTATGATCGCTTGCGTCCTCTTTCATACCCACAAACAGACGTTTTTCTTCTGTGCTTTTCAATTGTGAGTAGGAGTTCCTTTGAGAATGTGCCGGCAAAATGGTTTCCCGAAATCAGTCATTATGCTTCCGGTGTTCCTGTGTTGCTCGTGGGATGTAAAAATGGTTAGCAGTTGGAATATTTTATTTTAATAAACTTTTAATAAACTTTTAAGAGCTTAAAAGTTCACTTTTTATCGTTCACGTAAGAGATAGGACCTTTTACTTACTATGCTTTTCTGCTTTAAAGGTTGCGAATTAGTAGCACAAAACCTTGGGAGTGGTCGGAAGATTTGTTACATTTACACAACCTCAAAATTGCAATAAAAGTGAATTTAGGGGGCATGGGGTTGTATTCCGATCCTTCGCTGAACGCGTTGAGGTTTAGGCTATATAGTGTTTTGTCTTTTACGGCTATGCTCAGATCTTTTCCTGGCAGAGTTTGATTTAATCTAAAAAGCAACGTTTACAGATGTTAATATATAAGTAAGCTACTGGGGAATGTTTCCTAGAAGTGACTCTGCCTCCGTAGACTTTATTTCTGTATATGTGAATATATAGTTATGAATTTCTTTTTTTTTTTACTTGCAAAGTTCATCTTAATATGAAAGCCAATATAACTTGCGTACGCCGCAAAACTCGTTTCACGTCTTTCAAAAATGAATTAGATGAAATAAATCAGTTTAAAATAATTGACATATGTTTAACTGTCATATTTGTTACCAGATCTGCGCGTGGGTTCTGGCAGTGCGCGACCTGATGTCGTAACTGCAGAAGAAGGAAAGGAGATGGCAAAGAAACTGGGCTTGTCTTGTTATGTCGATACTAGCGCTCTCACACAAGATGGTGTGAAGTTTTGCTTTGAAAACGCAGTGAGTATCACTTTATTGCATTCCTGAATTAAAAGAAACTAATTTATTTATTAATATTTTTGTCAACTCCGTTCATTTCACCTGTTATTTTGGGATAAATATGATAATTTAAATTTCGCTTCCTCAAAAGTTCAACCATATAATTGGAGAACAAGATGAACATAGGTAGGCCTACTACTTAAAGCCTATCGTTATGTAACTGATTCTGTTTAAATATTCTACATCGAATATGTATCCCGCCCTTTCAGATCCGTTACGCTTTGAATGCAGCGCCAATTCTCAAGAAGAAGGGAGGCTTCTCCTTTTTCGGCAAGAACAAAAAGCCACTCCCTATTCCGCCAGTCATGCCACCTGCAGGTAAGGGAAGTAGTTTGCTCGTGCTCAGTTGTACCGTATTAAGTGCATTTTTGTTGGGAACTCACTGATGGTGAATGTAGTTGTCAATTATGCAGAAACGATATCCCCTAATAAATGAGATTCGACCGAGTGGTCGATGACGATATTGATGCGAATTCATTCTGTGTAAACATGGCATCGATTATTTTAAGTATTTTTTTAATTTGATTAAAATGGTAAATATTTCTAATGCCCATAAACAAATATAACCTGTCAGACTTTTCAAAGAAGTGTAGGCCTTTTTCAATGTATGATAATATGGGGATGTGGGAAATAATTCAAAGTTTCGGTGCAAGCTCTCGGTGGAAAAAAACTGTAAAGGGGCCGAATTTGCAGATATACTTCAAAATGTAATGTAAACTTTATGTTAAAATTCATACACATTCAGAGATTCAAAAGATGTTTAATCTTCGTAATGCTCGGATACCAGTCTATGAAAAAAATTATCAAGTTTTACAATAATTTTCAAATTTGCGTGCCCGTTCACGCCTATTTCAAGACTGTCCTCATCGTGGTTTTAAAGGTTATTCTTCCATATGAAAAAAATATCAATCAATACAAAACTAGTTATTTATCCGGTTGATTGATTGTAGACTTTGTGCGTGAAACATGGTTTTCATATTGATCAATAGTTTTATAACATTTCCTAATAAAAATACAGCGTTTTTGTACGCATGGAAACAAACAAACTGAAACACAGATTCTCTCATTCACTGTTAAGGCGTTGTCGTCGCCTCATTTGTATGAAGAAAATAGGACCATTTGTTATTTACATAGTAATAACCAGCGTAATATTATATTCTAAAAGTAACTGAATTACATCAAATGTATTCGATAGGTAAAGCGCCATGGCTGACGGTAGAGACGTCAACATTTGCCGAGGACTGGAAAAAAGTATTGCAAAACCCGGTCCATGCTGACGTCACATTTCTGGTGGAGGGACAGCAGCATTTAGACGCTCATCGGGTGATTCTGTGTGGGGCGTCAAAGATGTTCAGACAAATATTCTCGAGAAAACTGAAAGAAGAGGTGAGTTATTTTGAGTTAAATTGCACTCGTTATTGAACCTACGGACAACAATTTTAGCCAAGTCGCAATGTGATAGCATTGTTATGTACCGTGTTTTTTTATGTTTTTTTTTTTATGTATCGGTCGGGAAATATGAAGAAATTGAAGAAAATGATACTGAAAAAATAAACCATATTAAATCTTAAGTTTTTATATCTTAAAGTAATGTTTTTCCGCAGAATAACCAGCTGACAAAGTTTTCCCCGGGGAGCACGTTTACGTGGGAAGACATTGCGTCTGGGAAAGTGGAAGGTCTGGCAGGCATATGGCAGGAAAAACAGGAGGGGAATAAGGACGTTATGAAAACTGTTATAGAACTAAGTGCAGACATCAAAGGGGCTGCGTTCGTACAAGTGCTGGAATTTTTGTATACAGGTTTGTCTGGTTCGCGATCGATTATATTAATGTCAGATTTAATGAGTTAAGTAGTTGTCTGTGTTAAGTGTGTCAATGTTTTTAACAGAGGACTTGATAATTTGGCTATGCTTTGACTAAATTCCATGTGATTTTGTTTTTAAATAAATAAATCCGAAAAGATGTAAAGGATACTATTTTATATGTACCCTGTAAACTTCAGAGTTGTAGAGATATCATTCTTATTTCTCAAGGTGTGCCAGACCTTAAAGACGATATCTCGGACCAAGAACTGGATGAAATCACAAGGGTTGCTAAAATATTCCAACTCCCTCACCTGGAGACGATATGTACAAATAAGAAAAACGAGGAAGAGTTTTTGAACCCGAGTATAGGGACGTTCTTAAATGACCTGACCGGACAGAGCTTGAAAGAGCTGTTCCTCAATCAGCCTGAGTGGGCCGACATTGTGTTCATAGTAGAAGGTACAATTTGTATATTAATATTTTTTAAAAACTATTAAACTTTACCCTAAGTTTTCGAGAAGCTTAAATAATTGTCTGCTTCTCGAGCAGACGATCAAACCGAGTTCAAAGCAGACGACTTCTCCCGCCTTATCGTCAGTGAAAATCTGAGAATGAAGTTGGACTTTTTCCCAAATAAAGCAGAATTGAGATATAGAGAATTTCGATGAAATCGTTGCAGTTTTAATATAAACCGGTAAAGCTATCAACAAAATGTTAAGAAAATGAAAGTGCACCAATTGACGCTCGTTGAAATGCACTCGCTGCCTAATGCCCGAAGTCAGTCATACCTTGTTATCTAGCTTCATTGAGCCTTTTTGTGATTTTCAATTTGTTTTTTCCCAACAGGTCAAAAAGTGTATGCCCATCGTGTTGTCTTGTCGGCTCGCTGTGACGTGTTATCTGCCATGTTCAGCGGCCATTTTAGTGAGGGTTCTTCCTGTATGACAGAGGTAAATTTCGTCGCATTTTATTGTTATTCTTACCTTTTCATAATTCTATCATACAGGCTTAGCCAGGAATGCATTATCAGATATTGTATTAATGTAACCAATGCGTTTGATTTTTTTTCATACAGACATAAAATAGATTTTCTGTTCTTGTTCATTATTGGAAAACATTATCTCCGAATAGAATAGCCAGACGCGCCATGATCCGTGCTGTCAGTCATTTTTCTTCTTATGTTCCGATCTGTCATCTAATACCGTAAATTTTTACACTAAAACGGGCTAATAACGCACGTACATTCACTCTATTTTCCTACAGGTACCTCTATCTGACGTGACATTGGAATGTTTCCTTGCTTTCTTGGAATACCTATACACAGACCACGCCCCCATAGAGGATGGAGATTCTGTCGGTATCATGGTCCTTGCGGACGAATACTGCCAGCGTCGTTTAGTCAATCTGTGCGAGTTATACATAACAAAGGAAGTGGACAGGTCCTGCAGAGACAACATAGAAAAATCAGATATTGACGTCATAGGGTTACTGCTGACGTCACAGGTAATGGACAGCTTATGTACATGTACATTCTCAGCTTTGATCACAGCCGTGAATGATATCATAAATCACGTTGTATTTTAACAAATACAGTTTTGATAAGCCCCGTCTTTCTTGGTTTATTTATCTCTAATTTATGTTTTACAGATTAATTTCGATCATATTTGTAGTCATGTGTATCTTTGAAAACATTTATTTATTTATTTTTATATTCTCAGATCCACAATGCTGAACAGCTTGCTAATTGGTGCCTTCACTTTATCTCTACGAACTATCAGTGTTTTAAAAACAGACCAGAGTTTCCTCTTCTTCAAGAGAAAAACTTGGAATATGTGGAAGAGAACCAATGGCCCCCAGTAGAGTACCTAAACGAGCTTCGGGAGTATGAGAAACTTACGGCCAAAAGCGAAGAAAAATGTTCTATCATGTAATGATAAAACTGGATTCTTATATTGATTTGCACATATAGACAGTGGGCAGGCAGATTTGCCTTAAGGTCTTAGTTGTGCCGAAACTGTAATATCTGTGGCTTCGATATGTCAGAAGCACGTGCTAATTTTTACCGGGCACAACGGAAACGGGACTAGTGAGTTTCTCACGTGGTATAGTAACGCTTTGGTTGGCCGACTCCCACCACGTGACACTATAATTTGCCCAGTTCCCAATCAACACATTGTTGCAGATACGTTTAGTCCTCATATTTGTCTTACAAACATGCACTTGGCTTATATACATATGAGTATTTATTGTATATGTTTAACTTAGTGATTGTATTCTTAATAAAAGTCATAAAAATTAATGGCTGAAGATTTTATCACACAGTTCTTCATATATTTGGCCCATAATTAAAGTCAAATGGCTGTTTTGTTAGGTATTCCTGTGGTTCATTGGTCATTATTTTTATTATTCTTTTATTTCTACAAATTTCAGTAACAGTATGGAAAAATACTGCCTGTGTTTTATCGAATATCGAGGTATTACATGACTGTTTTCTCTTTTTATTTTACATTGAACACAGAGGAACATTTTATTACTTTATTTTTTGTGATTTATCAAATTCTTGTTTGCAAAAGTTAGCTTTTTTAAAATGAAGTAAGCAAGCAACAACACTGGATGGAAAAAAATTAACAAATGTACATATCATTTATAGAACAATGTAGTATCTAAGTGTTTATTCTACTTCTTGGTAAGGCATAATCCCAGTATATTCAATTTCACTATAATAAATGAACAAAGTACAGTCACTCATTTTAATCATTATTTATTCACAAACATGATAAAATTTGATAGAAATATTGCATAGACAGTAATAATTTTAACAAGCCTCAAAACAGTGAATATGATAATATCTGGTCAGAGGTTAAACTGACATAGTGTTTCATCTTAACCTCAACTTCAAATCAAAAACTTTGTCCATTGCAACAGAATCACTGTTAGAACTAGTAATACAGAATCTGCCAACCTTAATTACTCTTTGATATGAAAAAAAAGGAATGCCCCCCCCCCCCAAAAAAAAAAAAAAAAAAAAAAATCGCCTCCCTGTGTCTGTGCTGGTCTCTGGGATAAATTATATTATTACATTATATACTTTTTATTTGACCAAAAACAGACCCTCTAAAAGCTGGCATAAATGGAGATTCAGTGTGAAGCTACAGATAATCCGCTGAGAAAAAACTGAAAGAACAGAGAATGAGTGATCCACCACATAACAGCCAACAAATCTGATTAATCACAGTAAGAGGTACATACAGCTCTGAATAAACTGATACATATTACTTTTTTATTAAGCTAAACACTTTTTTTATTTGTTTTTGGATGGAGGTTAATGTTATATTCTAAGCCATATCGTGCCCATAAAATAATTGGACAAAACTGGCCCACACTGCTCAATAACTGTCTCTGTATATTTGAATAGTTTAAAACAAAAACTTGAAACAAACAGATCTGTTCACACCGTTTTATCATTGAAATATACAATAAACAAAGTAATTAGTTTCTTTTTCATAAACTTTGGAAAAACAGTATATCAGCTGGAAGCACAACTTGATAAACAAACATGGTAATGTCAATAAATATCATATCTTTTAACTTATTGATTGATTGATTTATAAATTCATTTAGTAATGGGAATTCAATCAAAGGCCTAAATATCTACCTACTTGAAGGTTACTGACTGGATAATACATTGAGTGGTATGACATAGAAATTAACTTAAGGGAAATTTATGTCTGTCAGTATATAATGTAATAAATGACTGCCTTTACTTTTAGCAAAGTAATAAACTGATTCCAAGTACATCTGATATATAATTTGAAAATGTCAGCAAAATAAAAAAATCTAAAATAAGTGGTTTTTAAATGGGACTTGACATATAATCATGAATTAATAATATCATCATATTTAACATATTTTCAATAGGATATCATAAAGCTATTATATATATATATATATATTACTGCACCACACTTTTATCATAAAATTATATTGGTATTTTTATACAAATAAATATGAAGAATAACCTTCAATTCCTGTACTACAGGCATAGTGTGTGAGTATATGTAACTCAGCTGCAAGTCTTAACAGTGAATGTGTAAGTTCTGACCTATCAAACCTACATGTATCTTCACTCTTATACATATTCATTTTGATTCAAAAGAGTGACCAACATTTTTTTCAAAGACAAGCCATCTTAATTCAGAGAGTCAGAGACATACTTTATTTGCCTCTTTATGGCACTGCCTCTAGTGAGGTAAAAGTCTGACTAGGAAGCTAGGACCTGAAAACTTGCTTCAACAGCAAGGTTTCATTAGTATGAATATCAGTCTAAAATACACTGCCATAACACAACGTATGTCATGATCTCTTGGAAAGTTGCACTCCTCAATCCATCCTTAACCATAAGATTTTACCCCTCGTGGGGCCACATCTCATGCCTTAGGATTAAAAAGTTGCCTTTTCTAAGGGTTGGTAAAGAAACTGGGTAACTTTCAATTACAGAATTATATCCTTTTCCTATTTTCTCTACATTCACCACCAAAAAAACTAAGGACTGCAGTCAGAAACAAGCGAACTTAAACTTAATACCAAGGAATGATATTAATGGAACTTTGCTTCATTTTTGGCTTTAAATTTGAACTTTTGGGCTTATTTATGGCCACTATACATGACAGACACATCCTTGTGAATGTACAAAAGCTGTACCTAAATAGATTGAGAGTTAAAAGGAAATATAAGATCCACTGCTAATGGATAGTGAAACTCCTACCTTTCAGATTTCAATACTCTACTCTCTGATGCTGCATAATACAAATAAGCTATTGTAATTTGTGATAGTACTCAATCGCACTGATAACAACTTCTTTTATCTCCATGATATCCCAGATAAATTATGACAAATATTAGTCACCAATTTACACTGTACTGATTATTAACAAGTGTCATTTTTGAACATTAACATTTTCATTATATCCTGGACAGTGAAGAACTTGTATATTGAAAGAACCTTCCCTCATCCCCCACCATATTTCCCAAGCAAATGAGATGATTAATCCCTATATGCTACCCAAAAGTGGGTAAATCTGCAAGGGGGAAATTTTCTTGATATCTTGGATCATTCAGTGACAGCTGACAGTGTATTACACTGGGGAAACTGGTAATATGTACCCAACACCAGTCTGTCTAAAAAGTCATAATGTGAAGCACACTCATATTATCTTACTTACAATGATGATTCAATGACATGTCAAATTTGCTGCTCTTCTGTGAGACTAATGACTATTTATCAATTTTCATTTAGAACAAAAAAATGCTTTAAAATCAGCTGTGTGTATGAGTGTGTGGTCTAACTATTTCATCCATCAACAAATTTTAAGTAATCTCATATACCATGTGCATTTGATTCAATATTGGGTTGTCTAGCAATTTTCACAGGCACGCATTACAGTTGAAAGTGAAAACAGCCAATAATTATAATATGACTAGACACAAAGGATCTCACAATATAGAGAATGCTTTCAACTTTTAAACATAAGCTGTTAAACATAACGTGGCCGTACACTGCTAATCAACCCTGAAAGTTTTATACCATAGTGGTACCCAAAATAACCTCATATCCCATGGAAGCTTTATATCCCAGGAGAATCCCACATCCCACAGAAATTCAATATTGCAGGTTTGGGGTTTTCTAAACCCTCTTTAATAACATGGGATATGTACTTCCTCCAAAGGTCATCACTACACACTTGGACTGCTTGGACTTTGTCTCCTGGTGGGTCCCAGGCACTGACCACAGGATTGCATAATGACCTCATCATATGGCTCCACCTGGACAGTGGAGTGGACAAGACCATGCTTGGACCTCAGCAGCCGCGTGGCTTGCTTTAACACACTGAATGGATCTGCATCTGGCCCTGGAGATTATAAACAGAAATAAATATAATGATTATAACTGCAGGGTACAGAATAGGTAAGATGATTATTGATGCTTAGGTTGACCCACATGCCATTTGGGACATGCTTTTTTTATTTCTAATTCCCATGTGTTTCTGAGTTAACCTCAACATTATAATTTGGCAAGTGATGGGAAATTATACCCCTTCAGACTAATCCAGATCATCCTTCTGCCATAACCTTCAACTAAATTTCATTTTATTTTTTTAAATATAAATTGACTCTTTAAATGTCTGTTTACACATAATAAAGAACAAACAGAGCCCAAAGACCTTACCCTCCTTCACCCCCCTTGCAGTAATGTTTATTCAAAATTCCCATTTTTCTTCACTTTCACAAAATTCAATAAATTTACTTAACTTCTACTCAATTTAAAAGACTAAAAAAGACTAAAGACTAGTGATAAATTAAATTTTCCACCTAAAAAGCAGAAGTCCAAATTGCACTCACCAACAGCGAGATGTGTTGTCACAGCAGGTTTGTCCATAGCGAGAGACCAGATATGAAGACTGTGTGCCATCTTGACATTGGGAATGGCCTCCAAATCTTCCTCGATCTTCTTGATGTCAAGATGTTTCGGAGCAGCTGATATAAAAAACAACAATGTAGAACAGATATTGTAAATATGTATCACTACGGCAATCAACTAAAAAAAAAATTAATTAAAAGGGGTTCAGTGCAAATATTTAACTCATTATGGAGTGTTAACTAACTTGTTTTAACTTGTTTTAAAAAAACAAAATTGATCTTTTTACTCTTCTTACAAAACCACAGAGCACATTGAGACACAAGCCTGTGTGTGAAGTTTTTTTTTCAGAATTTTTTGTCACATCTTTGCACGGGAAGTGCTGAATAAAACAGAGAAACCATAAAACCAAAACACCTGTTTTTATCAAATCACTGACAGTATTAAACATCTGTTGTTTTGATCAAATCAATAGATATTTTAGTCACTCATATCACATACCTTCCATAATTAAATAATATGCATCACGTAGCACTGTTATTGTGGTAAATAATACTAGTATAGAGAAGATAAATGTACAGATAGGATCAGCTATCTTGTATTCTGGCTGAAATAGAAAACAAAACGTACATGTATTATCATTACTATCAGAAGTACACGTGTACATATGTCAACTGAACCTCTGTCTGAAAGTCTGCATGCATGTGTCACAAGCTATATGTAATAGAAATTAAATTTTGATATAAGTGTACAAAATGCAACAAGGGGATAGAACATTCAGTTCGTATTCTAAGGGGTGTCTCAGAGGTGTAAATAAAATTTTAAAAAATCAATTAAATAATTAAAGAAAACTAGTTTCCCTTTAAAAATTATATTAATCCAATTTGAGCACAGTTTAAGGTTCACTCCATGCACTTACCTTATACCTAATAATATAAGCTGCAATGAGCACTCCTACACTTTGTATTAGATCTCCAAGGATATGAATAAACGCTGCTCGGATCACAAGGTTTTTCTTTGACTTTTTCTGCTGACCATGACCATCATGATCACCATGACTATGACCACCTCCATGACTATGACCATGACCACCTCCATGACTATGACCATGACCACCTGATATATTGAATTTGCATGCAAAAGACTCTGAATGTAGCACCAGTCCCATGCTGCAACAGAAAAAATACGATCATTGAATCTTGATGATCAAAATGCAAAGGCTTCATATCTATTCTGTTTTAAGCTGACATGGGTAAATGTGACATAACCAAGAGGAAAACACTGGATAAGTTCAAATCAATAATCAAAATGTCATTACCCTTAAATACAAACCCCCAACAAAGTCTAAAGACACATGTATATAAAATAAAATAAATGTGGACTAAAATTTAAGCAAACATCATGCAAGGTCAAAACATCCCAGAAATAAAACACTCACTCAGCTTCACTTACATCATATTAAAAGCTACCCCACAGCCAGCAGTGATGATCATGTCATCTCCCATGATTTCATAGTGGTTGTGCATCACCCTGTCTACAGCCAAGTACAGCAGCACTCCTGTAGCCACCCAGATCAGTAACACACTCACTAGAGCACCAACTACCTCTGAAATTTTATTTTAAAAAATTCTTAACTAGTAAGCATTATGATGAGAAGTAAATACTGCCTGCAAGAGAAAATGTTTGGTGATAATTTAATGCTTTAGGCATAACAGAATATTCAAACCTATTTAGTTCATTTATTAAATTTGAGTTAAATTTGAAGATGCAAATTAAGAGGCATTTTAAAAAGCAATGTTGACTCNAAACGTACATGTATTATCATTACTATCAGAAGTACACGTGTACATATGTCAACTGAACCTCTGTCTGAAAGTCTGCATGCATGTGTCACAAGCTATATGTAATAGAAATTAAATTTTGATATAAGTGTACAAAATGCAACAAGGGGATAGAACATTCAGTTCGTATTCTAAGGGGTGTCTCAGAGGTGTAAATAAAATTTTAAAAAATCAATTAAATAATTAAAGAAAACTGGTTTCCCTTTAAAAATTATATTAATCCAATTTGAGCACAGTTTAAGGTTCACTCCATGCACTTACCTTATACCTAATAATATAAGCTGCAATGAGCACTCCTACACTTTGTATTAGATCTCCAAGGATATGAATAAACGCTGCTCGGATCACAAGGTTTTTCTTTGACTTTTTCTGCTGACCATGACCATCATGATCACCATGACTATGACCACCTCCATGACTATGACCATGACCACCTCCATGACTATGACCATGACCACCTCCATGACTATGACCATGACCAAATGATATATTGAATTTGCATGCAAAAGACTCTGAATGTAGCACCAGTCCCATGCTGCAACAGAAACAATACGATCATTGAATCTTGATGATCAAAATGCAAAGGCTTCATATCTAATAAATTTTCTGTTTTAAGCTGACATGGGTAAATGTGACATAACCAAGAGGAAAACACTGGATAAGTTCAAATCAATAATCAAAATGTCATTACCCTTAAATACAAACCCCCAACATAGTCTAAAGACACATGTATATAAAATAAAATAAATGTGGACTAAAATTTAAGCAAACATCATGCAAGGTCAAAACATCCCAGAAATAAAACACTCACTCAGATTCACTTACATCATATTAAAAGCTACCCCACAGCCAGCAGTGATGATCATGTCATCTCCCATGATTTCATAGTGGTTGTGCATCACCCTGTCTACAGCCAAGTACAGCAGCACTCCTGTAGCCACCCAGATCAGTAACACACTCACTAGAGCACCAACTACCTCTGAAATTTTATTTAAAAAATTCTTAACTAGTAAGCATTATGATGAAAAGTAAATACTGCCTGCAAGAGAAAATGTTTGGTGATAATTAAATGCTTTAGGCATAACAGAATATTCAAACCTATTTAGTTCATTTATTAAATTTGAGTTAAATTTGAAAATGCAAATTAAGAGGCATTTTAAAAAGCAATGTTGACTCAAAGTTGAAGAACAAGACAGATATGTACATGATGTTAAGCTCATAGCAGGAGTGGCATGGCTGTGCCTCGAGGCGTTAGGGTGGGGGAGCCGGGCAGTCTAAAAAGAACTGCCTTTTGGTCAGAAAAGGTCCACTCTGAATCAAAATTTGCTTGAAGTTTCATCCCATTTCTCAGGTTGGGTCCACTGCATACAGGGTAAAAGGTCCACTTTAAAAAAAAAAATGAAGGACTCCACTGAAATTGCTGGCTACAGACCAGTACCTTGAAGTTATCAAGCTTTCAAGCCTCTCTAAAATAAGTTTTCTAGAATGTTATTTCATGTATTTAATTTCCACTTTGGTGGTGGTGGTGGGGGAAGTGGGTGGGAGTTGGGGTAGGGTAATAATCTCCTTACCTGCCCTGTGGTAGCCAAATGTCATGCGAACTGTGGGGGCTTTTGTGGTAGCAAAAAGAGCAAATAAACTGATGATGAAACTTGCCAAATCGCTGGCTAAATGTGTTGCATCTGTGAGAAGTGCAAGACTGTTGGAGTAGATTCCACCTGAAATGTAAAGCACTTGTCACTGATTGAACCACAACAACAATAATAATAATAATAATAACAATAATGAAAAAATATTAAAAATGAGGGTATAATTCTAATTGGCTTTCAGATGACAAAACATTTACTGTCCTTCAATTCTGAGATACTTATAAAATAGGCTATCAACTAGCAAACCAACAAAGGCAAAAACATGACCTCCTTGGCCAAGGTAATGAAAGTGAAATTTGATAAATAAAGAATGCATAGTGACTCATATACTGTATGTGCTCTGTGTGTAAGTTTAAATGCACACAAAGGGAGGGGATGGGGTAAATTTGTGCATCACTACAGTGGTCAAGTGGAACAGATTTTAGGAGAGGTGAAACCTGGGGCAAGGATAACCCTAAATCCTCCCTGCCTTCAATTTTTCATATCTGTATTAGGACACCCACTACTGATCATAGTTATTGTGATCAATTATGTCCACGACCCCACCCATAACTGTGTGTGTAGATCTAAGCAAATGTTTCCGGGAGAGGTACTAAACTTTCTTAAGTAAACATAAGTACACACCTACAATTTCTCCTATCATGAACATGCCACTCAAAACACAGACAACAATGAGTTGTTTTCTAGCAGTTGATAAGTTTTTCTGGTCAGTCCTGGGTAGATGACAGTGGTCTACGTTCCCCAGCTCTGTCTCACTTGACTCAAACCCCTGTACTCTGGAGGGAGCTCGCTCACTCTTCGGGATGAGTAGCTGGTCGTCCGACGACGAGGACTCGTCAGCTGAGCCATAACTTTGCGCCTCCTGATTTCTGATCGCGCTTCGAAGATTATTCCTTTCGAAGCTTGGTTTGAAAGAATTTTCAAATTGGGGCGATTCTATACTGTCGTCTTCATCTGTAGCGCTTCTTGGGACGAACCTCGAGGGAAATTTTCCTTCATTTCCCCCTACATGCGTCCCTCCTTCCGCATCCATATTTACAACTCTTTATCAGGATTAGGATTGGCAACAGAGAACAGGCAAGAATGGTGCGGTCCCCATTGAGCCTTGTTCAACTCTGGGTGTCATTTAAACCATAACATCGTTTCACCGACCATCAAACAACAGTCTTGTTTGAAACTAATATAAATGACCAGATTAAATATTACTTATATGTCTGAACTCGATGAGGGGGTGAGTGACCCTGACTGACCCGTGTCTATATACATGTATAGCACTGCCTGGATCCCGGAGATGTGCCATGTCAGGCTACGAGAGGGCCGCTATATGTCGCTTCAGACCAAAATCTGAGTGTTCTTTTATGTCAGAAAAGGCAGGAAAATTCAGATGAAAAATACTTATACCTTGTAATAGGTATGATACTATTGCGTATTAACTTTGATACTAGTGCGAATTGTCAACGCTTAGGCCCTATTTTAATGTTTTTTTTTAATTGAATAACATAATATTATGGCTGTAATACTATAGGGCATGGGTTCTCACTATATACTGTCAGTCAGACAGAGTGTCCATTTTTAATAAAGTTTTGTGTTTTCCACGTCCTTTTCCCCCTTTAGTATAAGTATTTGGTGTTACACAAGCATGTTTTCTTGGGCCTTTTGAAAAAATATAAATGGCCGCCTTTGTCACATGGTTACGTATTTCAGACANAAAAAAAAAAAAAAAAAAAAAAAAAAAAAAAAAAGCTCCCTAGCTGTGGTTGTGACACAAGGTCGAATTGAACTTGATCTGTTGGCCAACTCCCTGTTACCGTCAACTGTTGATTGACTTGATTCAGCGGAACTTACAGCTAGTCTTACGCCACTGTCTTTTACATCAAAACATGCTTTTTTTTAAAGATTCCTTCTTTCCTCAACTGACAAACCGTGGCTTTGCATCCGCGAACCCGCCCCCCTTCAAATAATCCTGGATCCGCCCCTGAGAAAGATAACAAAGGCCTACTACTGGTGCACACCAATGTGGGAAATGTATCGGATGGATGAGAAAAAAAAAACCAAACTGTATTTGTATTTTGAGCCTTACATATTTCCATTAGTCTTGATTCACCAGCAGCTGGGTGGTGGGGGCAGTTAAGCAGTTGAAACTGACTCCCAAAACTGCAGGAACGTGAAACTGTTTTCGTTTAATTTCTATACCACATACTTTTTATATGTACCATTCAGACCATTCAACAGCCAGCAAATATTTCAAATATAAAGCAACATCGCGATTCTTTTGTAGTCAGTGTTATTGTAGTCCGATGTAGTGATATTCGCATGTCTAACTTACTACTGGCCGGGGTTACATAGAGCGAAGGACGTTAACTAGGAAGTCCATGGTTCAGGGTACGTGTAGTTACGTAATATGTAGCATACCACAGGCTTGTAGATCTACACATGTAGAAGTGCGTGTGTAAAAAACGCGCGTTTCTTCTCTACCTGTTTGTGTTTACGCGCGGTGCGTTGACATTTGATTGAGTGTGTTGCTTCTTGTTGTTTATCTTATCAACTAGTCCTTGGTGATTTATTTGGGTCCTGGGACCCCCATGTTATCAACGCAAACGTTCAGACTGAAAGCAAGATGTCTTCCGCTAAATGGGGCAGTGTATTAATATGCACTTGCCTTGCTTTCGTTTTTCTCTCACTGTGTCTCGTGTCCCAACCTACAGCGGCGAGTGCAGGGACTAACCGTCATATCAGGGAGATTTTTATCGGACAATGCTGGTACTACACGGAGTATATCGGTCAAAGTTTAGGCGAGAGCGTGTAAGTGCGGATACATGCGTGTTGCTATTTCAGATCTACCGCCAACAGAATGCTGGTGTCAGACTTTAAAAAGCTTACTGAATGAAGGTTTGGAGATATACGTTTACTGGTTGTTCATCCGTGTACCTTAGTGCCTGCACTGTATCTGAAGTCTGATCTTGGTTATCCATGTGGTATCTTGAGCCCTTATGACAACGGGATAGCGATCGCTTGATCAAAGAATTCTGGCTAACCCCCACCAAGAAGTTGTAAAGAGATTTTTACAACTTCTTGCCCCCACAAAGGAAAAGACTGTTCTATTCATGGTTTATTTAACATTGATGAAGTGATATGACGTTGATTGCCGATATAAACAAAATCCCAATTCTATTGGAGACGAGAGTGGGGAAAATCAGTTCAACAAGCGGTCGCGAGTGTAACAGGTGCAATACAGCTTTAAGGAGAGGTCACTGCTCGTTTTCCGTTCCGAATAGCAATTTTTTTTACATCTTGGTAATAGCAAAGTAGAACTACTCCCTGGTAGAAAATAGAACTACATTCTCACATAATTAAATCATACTGCAACAGTTGCTGTTTTACCCTTATTTTGTTAAGAGAACATTGAGTATAAAACTTCTAGTCAAAGTCACAAAATATTTTTTTCCAATCAGAGGCAAAATAGACAATGGCATCCAGAGAAATGATTAAAGATTTTATTGTTTACGTATTTTGATAGAAGTATTTTCGACTTTGGTCCTCTTAGAGCGCATTTAGGACAAATTGATCCGCGGACTAACCGATCCGCGCACTAAATATGGCCGACTCACTTAAAAAGAGCGCCCACTACAGTTACCTGATGGTCTCCCAGCCTCCAGATGGGCCGTTGCTGCAGGGGCCTTGCAGTTAAACGCCGGAGCCAATATCTAATCCGTTTAACGGCGCGCAGACGATCAAGAAACTAGCGGCATCGCTTTTTTAACTGGGGTCGGCCATATTTAGTTGGCGAATCAGTCCGCGGATCATCAGTTCTGAATGCACTCTTAAACAAGGCGAATATCCTTTTTCCACCCATAAAAAATTAAATTTTGCAAATCAATTTTCAATTATTCGAATTACATAGCCTATTGGAATAAAACTCACGGGTGAAGAGTATTATTATTTTAATTAATAGTCAGAAGAACTGCACAGATCTTTGGGAGAAATTTTCCCATGCCTGGATGTACAAAGACCCTTGTGACGTCACAGTGGCGGACTATGAACCGTTTGTTAATGCAGCCACTGTTCCAGGAGAGGTCCCTACAAATAAGGTAGGTATTTGTGTTTGTTAAAACAACCACTGAACCTGAAAAGGTTCTTACGAATGGGCCCCATTAAGAATAGATGATCCGGGTACTTACTGATTCGCCGACTAAATATGGTTCAACCACAGTTCAAAAGCGATGCCCGACTCCACACGCGCCTTAAAACGGATTAAAGCTCTGCTCCGAGGTTTAATTGCTAGGCGGAGAGACCATCATGGAATTAGAGACGTCGCTTTTGAACTTTGGTCGGCAATATTTGGTCGGTGGATCAGTAAGTACTCGGATCATCCATTCTAATGTCATGTCAAAAAAGGAATACTCTTCAGCACTTCATTGTCTTTGTATCACAATAAGCGAATTGCACATTCAACTGATTTGTTTATTAGCCAATCATAACGCGAAACGTCATAAAACGGTACCTATAAACGCTATATTTTCGTATCCACCTTGTTTTTTTCTCTGTAGGCGGTATTTTGGGAGGCCGCGTACACCCTAGCACACGATTATAGCGGCAGACGGCGCCGGTACGTGGCTTCTGCTGACATCCTGACTGGCTACCTGGGTAATCACGTGTTCGCCTGGTGTGGTCAGGAGGAAGAGCCAGGCATCAACTATGACCATTGTCCACTGGAAGAGGACTGTCCCATGTTCCAGGGCCAATATGGCGGAATGTGGACAGCCGTGTCGAAAGCAGTGAGAGCATTTGGTTTCAGCTACAGAAAAACAAGTCTTTTCTTTTAATCTCTAATTTTGGACCCATTAACCTCTAATCTAGGATCCAGTATACTGGGTCCAGGCTCTAATTGACTGTGAATGTCGACAGGGATTTTTAATGAAAGGAGATGCAGTTTAAAATACGTATTTTTATTGCCATATATAACAGATTCTTCCTTTATCGATGTTTTGATAGGTAAAAATCTGAACACACCAACAAACATACCTTACCCTGAAAAACTCCTTCGATGCCAAGATTAATTCTTATTCTAAAATTGCAATCGTATAATTCTGATCAGAAACCATTTAAAGATAAAGTTGCTCACAGTAGAAGTAACGTATATTTTAACCAATTTTTTTTTCATTGTGGACCATCTGTATATAGATTTCTCCTTATAATATTCTACGAATACTCTTTTCATTGAACTTTATTATGCTTTATTTATATGAAATGCTGCCACTTTAATAGACAATTGGAAACATTGAAATAAGATCATATGTTTATGGGGATTATTTGCATATTTTACCGAAAGTTTGCAGAGGTCTGTACTGGGGTAATTAAAATGATCCTCAATGGAACGACGGCTGGGTCCAATGTGGCATTCAACGAAAGAAGGTACTACGATAAATTATCTCACTGGTACACGTGTAATCACATGGATTCAAAGCAGACATTTAAAGAAAATACTTCAGTAAATTTGTCTTTTAGTATTCTTTTTTTAGAAAAACACGTTGGATGGTAAAAATTACAAGTTTCTATTTATTTCAATACTGATTAAAACATATCCAAGGTTTCTACCAAAGGTTTCAATTGAAGTTAATAAACACTTGTCAACATGATAAGAAGGTATTATGAAACATGAAATTACTCTATTTAACAGCTATTTCAACCTGTTTGAACTTCCAAACCTTCCTAAGGCGAAAGTCACGCGATTCCAGCTCATGGTATTCCATGATGTTGGGAAAACGCACAAGTACGTACTGGTAAAGCATTACTCAAATTTTCATTAAGAACGTTTTCAAAAATTAATCAAAGGGGGTATTACTATGTTTTTATTTTTGCGTTATACATATTCAGCACAAACGTAAAATACATGAAACGATTAACATTTTCAGGGAAACGTGCAACAATGGCAGCATTCCCCTCCTTAAAAAACGTTTAGAAGAACTTGGATTCGAATATGACTGCATCGATGACCCAAGGTAAAGTGAGCTTATTAAAACAATAAAGAAAACGAAACGCTTTACAGGTCTTAAAGAGGTCGTTATTAAATTATTAAACGCAAGACAGTGCAATCTTTTAGCGCCTTGCGTTAACTTAATAAAATATTTTTTTAATTTCCAGCGCACTAAAGCACATTTTGTGTTTGGATGACATCAATTCAGCAGAATGTCAGTTCGCCTCCAAGGTACTTCGGCCAACATCCGCTTCATATACCACAGGAGCAGGCCTCCAGACCCTGGTGTTTGGAGGCATATTAATCCTGTCTGTGTCCTGTCTGTGGTTATTTTATAACCATTTACAGAATAAACTGAGCTGACATGTGATTAAGTATAACGGATTAAAATCACGCAAAGCCAAATCCGATTTCATATTTAAATGCATACCAAAAACTAAAACGTTTTTTACCACTTATTACCCCCTTATAGTTTAATACTAAATCACAAGGCGTATGCCAGCATAAACATTACCTTAATAATACACTACTCACAATATCTGCACATAAATATCATTCAAAGCTGGAGTAGAGCTGTGAGAGAGCTGAAGCTAACACACAGTGTGTACAGACTAGATTTATCAGCTTGATCATAAGAAAAACCGATAATACAACAATACACAAAATTTGAGCCTTGGACGTCTTTAGTAAATACAAAGCCAAAATAATTGAATTTATCAAAGTGAACAAAAAATGAGATTTATGGAAAGATTGGATCATGCCCATTTTCGAACATGACCAGCACTTTCAGGCGATGAATAATCCCCATAAGTTTGAATCCCTACAGCAACATTACTTCTCCGGAATGGCAGTAACAAGAAAGCGGCACAGTTCTGGTGACGTTTGAGTGACCGGAGTATGTACATACAGTTTACTCAACAAAATATAGGCCTATATATTTGTATACACATCCAAGAGAGGATTTATCATAAAAAACGTGTTGATCTTTTTTTTTCGAATTAATAAATTTAGTTTTATATGCATTTTTATCGATCAACTAAATATTTATTAAGAAAACCCGTTGAATAAATAAAGAGCGCCTTTACGTCACTAAAATATTTAACTGGAATCCGTATTAGAACAAGTAGGGTATGAATATTACCTTGAAATACAACAAGACTTTTTGTTGATGGATGGATCAACATCACACAATCATGTTATAGGCCTAC